TTGAAGGGGGGACTGTGAGGTTATAGGGTGGTGGTTTTAGGGGGGAGGGTGACAGCTATGTGAACACGAGGTCCTCAACGTCCCTCTAAACCTGGAGCCTGGTTAGGGTGAGCAAATAGGAGGTGAGAGGGTCCACTGAAGGACCCATTCAACTCCCCTCGGTCCAGATGATACACACAAATCCTCAGTGTTCATCATATCCCCAACCAGGCTGCATTGTCAGAGCAGATGATGGGTTTCACAAAGTTGATTTGAAAAATAAGAAAGGAAACAGAGTGATGGATTGTGAAGCTGCTCTCACACAACCTGGAAATGATGTCATTACTGTCGCAAACTGTTGAGATTTGGGCAAAAGTGACATTTTAAAAACATACACCTGGTCTGAGTTTGAGCTGTTGACATTATAATGATAATAATATTGGAATGTGATGCCCACAGTGGGAAAGTATTTCAAGAATTATTTTCCACAGAGGAGGTTCGATTCCAGCTGTATGCCGATGTGTGCCTGGAGTTCTGCTGGTTCCTGGCAGTAATTTCAATTGTTGGTTCGTAGGTTCAAATCCTGACGCTCTAACTTACATGTAGATCCCACTGTAGATGGAATAGGTGCAAAGGCGAAGCAACATGTAAGAACAGAAACCTATAAGGAGAAGGTTGGGTTGATAAAGACTACATTTTGAGTCAAATCATGTGCAGATTATATTTGACGAAGGAAAGGCTAATTAAGATGTGATGGAATATGAATATTGTGTCTAAGGTTATTTATCTACAGTAGAACAATGGATGCTTACCTGCGAGCTAGATAAACAAGTGCAGGGATTTATTGCAGCAGAGCCAGACTCAGTGACTACAGCGACCTGGAGCCTGTGAATACAGGTCTCACTGATGCAACGTTTCCTGAATCTGCCCCTTATTAGAGCCCAAAACTGGGATTAAACCCTATAAATGTCGGTTTTTCCATGTTGGCTGTGATAAGAATAGCTCGCGGCTCGGTGGCCACAGTGTGGACCTTTAACGTCTTATGTTTTTCTCCCTGCGGTCACGGCAACGACTTGGACTTCATAAATCAGACGGTCTGATTCGGAGCTTGGTTTTCCTTTCAAGGTATATAAGACCGACGGGGGTTTTCTGTCGGAGCGGTCTGAGCACTAAAACCGCTGGCTGCGCAAACATTGGACGCACATGCGGGCTGACAACAACATGCGTTTATTTGTGCGCGCTTTTACGATCAAATCTGCGAATCGAGGGAGGTTCTCCAATTAAGTGCAGCGGACGATTTTTTTCTTCGATAAATTATATCGATCCATATCAAGTCAGGCGCAAGGTTATTGTAATTCTTAGCGTTTGTTCTACAATAAGTACATCGTGAAAGGTTGAGACTTCTTAACACTCAGTCAAGGAGCGCAAAAAAAAAAAAATAAAAAAAATAAAAAATAAAACCAAGGAGGTGAGAGTTAGAAAAAAGCTGACATAATTAAGGCTGCAGGCTATTTTTGCCCGGAGAAAACAAACACAAAAGTTAACACTGAATACTAAAGGACAAACAGGAGGCTGTCTCCTGCGGCCGGGAGCCCATAAATTGCGCACAGGTCTGCGCCGTGGACGCGCTGCGGCTTGTCGCTTGTGCGCACTGCAGGGGGAAAAAAAAGAAAAAGAAAAAATATGCCGTTTGGAGACGTGTCTCATTAACAAGGTTCATGTGAATTGGTGTTAATGTTTCATGGTTTTCCTGTGGCTGCAGACGGGTTTTTTCTTCTTCTTTTACTAGGAAATGTAATAACCCTCAGAAAGAAAAACAGACAATAAATCTCAGAGATTAAATTAATTTCGTTCTCCTGAATCGGGTTTGTGTGCGCACTCACTGGGGTCATTCTGAAGAAACCCGCTACTGTTTGCGGATCTTTTTTCCCCCTTCGTTAAAATATTTGACCTTTTTTCCTTTTTTCTCTCGTTTCTGCCTTTAATTCGAACCTGCAGTCACTCGGATATTTCTTCCAGTGCGCGCTGTGAGATGACAGCTCCAGGCCGGGGTGCGCGCTTTCGTTCCCCCCACGTGGGTCTGTGGACAGAAGCGCAGAGGAAGCCCGCGGTCACGGGAGCCAGATATAAATACTTTATTCCTGGGGAAATTGGGAGTCAAATAAATTCCACACGGGGCCACATCAGTGGTGAGGTTGTAAAAAAGTTTCTGACAGTCCAAAAGGCGACTGTTAACCCAGAGCCAGTCGGGCTTAAACTAGAACGGTAAACACCAGTACACGCTTGACCCGGGATCTAACCAAAGACTAATTCTGGCTGTTTTCTCCTCTCCAAACATGTTGGAAACACAGAGGACGCACTGTTTTAATTAGAACACGCCGTTGAAGACGCGGCTTTGCGTTTTTACGCACAGGCTGAGGCAACGCAGCCCAGAGAGCTCGGGGATCCGAACCTCCACACTTCACACCAGCGCGTGTCAACATGCTGCAGGATTTTTTTAGAATCGCCCAGAGATGGAGACGAGTTTGAGTAAACACGAAATGTTCTGTTATCGACGTTTCAAGGGGGCAAAAGTGCAAGGAAGTCTACATTTTCAGGAAATCAATGTTCGGTCTATGGGAAAAAATGTGGCTGTTGTTGGAATTGAACCAGATTTGGATTGTAAATTTGACAGACTCACTTTAAAGCGCGTGAACATGCAGAGAAAAGAAGACCAATTGTCACAATTTCCTTCAGAAATGTTGTTTTTCTGCTCACCGACGCTCCTTAAATCAACAAGAAATGCGGAAAAAAAGATAAGAGCGTCCACGCGTTTAAAGACGGAGCAAAGTGCAGCAGCCGCTGAAGGAGCTCGGCTTAAAGGAGCGACGGCAGCCTGCGAGGGTTACCTGCGTCATCATGCGGTCTGCACCTGTGTTCTCCTCATCCTTGAAGATGATGTCCGGGTTGTAGTTGGGGGTGAGCTCCTTGAAGCGCTCGGAGTTCCTGGTTATTTTCCCTTCATATCTGCCGCTGGCCCCCAAAGTCTTCTCGGCTACGTTGGGGCTGAACTGCTTGTAGGCGAGCGGAACCAGTTTCCTCTGTGGTCGCCTCTTGCCGTAACCTCGACCCGGTCCGCAGCCCTCACTGACCGGCGAGAGTAGAAAGGCGCACCCGGCGAGGAACGTCACCAGCGTCGGAAGTAGCATTCCGCCACCGGGTGCCAAAAAAAGTCAGAGCTGGATTTCTTCTTTTGTGTGCTAGTTCTTAGAGGGGAGGTACGGGAGCAGGACTCATTCCGTAGTCCCTAAAAGTTGCCATCCCGGCGCGTAAAAGTGTCCAGTGCGCCTGAGTGAAGACCAGTGAACCTGTCCCTGTGCGCAGAGGACGCGCTCCTTTCCCGATTGCGCGCAGAGGCTGGAGCATAAATAGGCGAGGTGGGTTTATCTTGGCAGACAGGTTCAAAGCGGTCTCTCTCTCTCTCTCTCTCTCTGTGTGTGTGTGTGTGTGTGTGTGAGAGAGAGTATGTATGTGTCGGTGCTGTGAGAAAAAAGGTCCACAGACAGACACACAGACACACAGACAGGGAGGCGCGCAGTGCGTAGGCAGGCTGCGCCTGTTGGGCACGGCGGTCAAAGGGTGTCCCCGCAGTGGTTTCTGCCTCTCGGCTTTTTTCTCAATGCGTCCCTGTGGCGCAGGGCTGCTGGCAGAAATGGAAATGGAAGAGATCCTACTACACAGTGTAGATGAGGTGCCGCAGGAGAAGAAGGAGAAAACCGCGCCCTGCTGGACCTCCCCTCCCCTCCGCCCCGTCCTCTCCTCCCACCAGGGTGGCACATGCAGGGCCCCACGGCCGAATCCATCTATTTACTGTCAGCGTGTGCCTCAGCCAAGTGGACGCACACACACACACCACCCCAAACACAACCAACAGAGGTGACAAAAAAAAAAAAAAAAAAAAAGTCAAACAGTTTTTGGACCTTGGTCTTCAGGTCAGGACGCACTTCAAACCTCTGACCCACTGAACCAGGTACAGTAAGACACAAGTGCTGAATCTAAGGCCAAGGAACAAAACGTAGAAACAAACAGTTTGATGAGATTAACAATAGTTTTTTTTTTATATAAAATCAATAGCACCTGCATCAACTGTTGTGATTTTCTTTGAAAGATTTGGAGAATAAATCTGACAACTTTAAGGTTGCATAAGATTGAAAGCACTGTAATTTTAATAAGTCAAAAGTTCTTACACAGTGGACTTTGGGAAATCAGCAAATTAAGTGAATAAACTGAATCTAAATTTGACAGAATAATGTGCTTAAAGTAAACGTACTGCTGATTTAGAGCCACAGTACGGTCTGTGGACGAGGAGCGGTTTGTTCAGAAAACCACAACACATTTTGACACATCGAATTGGCCTCATTGAAGTATTTCACAAATTTTCTGAGCCAATGAAAAAAAGTTGGGGGGGGGGGGTGACTGACAGGGGCCCAAAATATGTATTTATTATAATATTATTGTAACATATTGCTAAGAGACATTTCTTGTAGTGGGTATCAGTGCATTAAATAGTGAATTCTTCTCACTATGTAGAAATATATACATGTTCTAAAGTGTGTTACACAGGGGCTCCGTGCGACCAAGAATTCCCCACTTAGTAATTTGGCCACCAAAAATAATTCAATAAAAAAACCAATTATATAATATTAATATAACATGTGTTGCTATTTGTGCAGGTTCAGTTCACGAAACAGTTTAATAACAGAATTCACTCATGGTGAGTTGGTTATCGACAACAGATTAGTCACTGATTAGTCATTCCTTGTGGAAATGTAGTACTGAAACTACATTTTGTAGTATTTACACACAGGTATCAGCATGTCTGGACTTGTCTGGACCTGCTTTTGATGTGGCACCGTCAAAGTATGACCAAAGTGTTGGATTTCAACATCATGCCAGGACCACACCAGGTAATAGTTTAATATAAAATCAGTATTTTATACCAGCGGTCTCTAATCTGACTAGTTATACTCCTTATACTACGTTCTGTGTGTATTCCTGTTGGTCAAACAATTACTAAAACAATTCAACAAAAACAAAAAAAGACTGAACCTGCAGTTTTTTTCTTTTTAACACGACACATTTCTGTGCGTCTGAAAGGCAGTTCCCGGGGCGGACTTCAGGGGTCACTGCTGAGGCATGATTTTACAAACCTGTCTAACAAAACCTGACCCAAAAAGTTTGTGAGCAGTCCTGAATGTTTCACAATTTCACTAGTTTACAGTAACAGTTTAAATCCATACGCCTGTCTTTAAGGTCAGCTGACCAGTGACCCCAAGATCTAGTCTGAGACGACGAAGAGGCAGAACACCTGTCAGGGTGACCCCGACATTTTAGGATAAGGGATTAGGAATATGTTGGACCCAACGATTTGTTTAAAACAACTGAACCTGGCTGATGGTAAATCTTGTCTAACGTTTTAATTAATAAATTAATTATATGGCTATTTGAATGAATGTGTTCATCAATATATGAAAATGTATCTGATTAAAATAAAAAAACTCTTTTTATCGCATGAGCAGAGCAACTCTAACACAGAGTTAATACACAGGTTGTTATTAGAACACGCTGCAGGAATGAGTGTTGGTTTCACGCAGCACTTCCATCTTGATGACTGAAATCCACATACTCTACGGAGCCACATTTTTAAGTTATATTCTTTTTCTTGACATTTTTCCATTTTAATTACTCCATTTACCATACCTGCTGTTATTTGTTATCTGGATTATTCATGATCAATCATGCCTTAATTACAAACACAATTCATCTTGATCACTTGTGATTATTCCACCGATCCCCTGTGATAAATCACATTAATTATTTTTGTTACATTTTCTAATAATTTATTTAACTCTCTTTTATTCTATTGAACAGTTGACTGACCTGTTTTATTCTTTGCTGTTTCGAAATCCCTTCAGTCAGACTATTATTGTTAGACCTGCTTTTAAAGTTCAGTTTGACTGGGTTAGATCAGATTGGATGGTCAACATTAAATAATAATCAATAACTACTTAGTAACAAAGATAATATGGGCAAAAAAAAAAGAAAGAAAAATCTGCCCAAACGTGTCCCATGTTTTTGTCGTGCTTCTGTCATACATTCCTGACGCAGGTTTCCAGTCATTAACCATTTAAAAAGATTTGAAAAGGAAATTAATTTTTAATAGAAAATCACAACCACGTACAGACACTAATGAAACCAGTGACAGTGCTGTAAATGGAACTCTACCTATTAACAGCTTATTTTAATCGCCCGTAACCATGGTTACCACACATTACTTTGTACAAGTTAAAGTGTTTAAAACATGTATATATATCCTTGTGTTCATGACTCAGTTGAGTGAAAACACTGACATGAGTCACACAGAAACACTTGAAATCCCTCACAGCCATGAGGACAAACAGTGACTTTTCAACTATGGCTTCAATAACATTCCCCAGATGCTGAAACACCTTGAGTCAACATCTCACTGTTCTCTGAAAAACAAGGAGAGGCTGCTCCGTCCACACCGTCCGAAACCTCAACTTTGTTAGTCTGAACTCAGGAGGTGAACTAATGTGAGCGTGAATAATGGAGAACAGCCTTTAAAGTTACACCTAAACCTTTAATCAGCAGCTCATTGGATTTCCATAAAAATACAACAAAGTCAGAATATTACAATGAATCAGATTTAAAACAAAAAGAAACAGATAATATTTTAAAATTGGCACCAAAAGTCCACTCTCATATGGCATTGAAATATGGATTCTTTAAAAATTGATCTGATTTATTAGACTTTATGCGATTTTCTAAAACTCAAGTTGAGTTAAAACCAGCTAAAACCACACCATTATTCCTTCAGATAAAAAACAAAGTGTTCATGCTACTTTATGTTTGTCCTCTTAAAAAGATTGTGTATGTATGAATGTGTGCGTGTGCGCCTCCTACTGCTCAGCCTCATCTGAAGATTCCCACCTTCTTCTTCTTTGGTTTGGACGGCGGTCGTTCTGCCAGGTCAGACCTGGGGGGCTGAGACTGAGGGGGAAACAGGAAGTTGAATTAACATTGTATCCTGTCAAACAAGGAGGACAGTTTTCGGGTTTGGTCATGATCTGATGTACATACGTGAAATAAGTTCACACAATACCAGCCTCCACTGTCATCCCTGTACATCAGTGAGTGGAATCAACTAGTACGGTGTTTCCCAACCTGATGTGTCTTGCATTGACAACAGCAGGAACCACTCAGAACTGACATGCAGTGCTGCCACCATTTGTCTCCACAGAAATGCACATATGCATTTAAAAAAAATGGAAGTTCTATTTTCTCTTACTTCTTCCTTAAAGAAAAATGGAGATGAATATGCACCTGTTGGACTACGGCTGATGGAGAACCTGCCTTTTCCGTCTGACCCACGTGGTTCCGGTCCACCTCCTTGTTGCTGTTCATAGATCCAGCATCTAGAGTTTCACCACAAAGAAGAACAGATGTCGTCAGGCAGCAATCATATCTCATCACTCAAGTGATGCTTTGTTTATTTTTTTGCAATTAAATTAAACCAAAGCCCATTATAGTTTGACACACTATAAAAATCACATCAGCCATTTTTTTCCTGCACTGTAAGTCAGATAACGGCAGAGAAAGTTAGCTTTTCAAATGTATTGCAACCCTGACAAATGTGCTATAGCAAGTATAATAGTTCATATTTCAATCACAGGAAGGAGTGTAGGTTTACTGTCAGCCTGGAAGCTAGGAGAAAAAAATAGAAAAAAAAAATTAGCTAAGAGATAACAAAAATGAAGGTCAGTTTTAGGAGAGCAAAATAATATTTCACGTTAGCTTTACCAAATTCAAAATAATTTCTTCAACAAAAGAATATCATTTGCCTTGTGTATAATAAAAAGGAAAACTGTTTTGACGTTGATTTTATGACAGAGGATTAATCAGCTCTGTGTTTCCTGTAGCGTGACCTTGACAAACCTAGAGATGGAGTCAGGTCAGGTTCCTCAGCAGCACTTGGTGCGTCCTTCACACCCATCTCTTCAGATAGTTTCCGTTTTTGTCCACGAATAATTTCTTGTGCAACAACTGAACCATACAGCTGCTGCAGGTGCTGACTGAAGCCCAGATGGGTGTTCTTCTCTGAACTTAGCAGAGGACAAACCTGTGAGGGGCAAAGGTCCAGAACAGTGTTTTAAGACAAAAATAATTATAGAACTGTACAACTGGCCTTAGAAACGTACCCAAAATTAGATTAATGGGGATAAAAAACTAAAAACACAACGGTGACATTTTGTCAAGAAAAAAAAACATTAGGTTGGAAATGTCCCAGTTAGCCACTTATCACTATAAATATGGTTAAATATGATTAAAGGTTAACTCAAATAACTTAGAGCAGTGCTTCTCAAAGTATGGGGCGGGTACCGTTGGTGGGAAACAGGGACGTGGGGCACGACAAACAGGAGGAAATTTTCAAATTTCAACTGATGATGGAACAACTGCACTTTTATTTTCTGTTATTATTTATCGTTATTTTTTTTGTCAGTGCGACTGGGGCAGGTGGGGCTTGAAAATCCACTCTTGTTCAAAGTGGAAAATGAACGACTGACTGATCAGTGGTCAAGACAAAATGTGAACAAAAAGTCTGTCATCACAGAGTTTCAAATGAGCCAAAAAGTTTAAACCCTGACTTTGGACAAGGCTGCCTCAAAACATATACAAACACAAACTGGATAATAAATGAAGCGTGTGCTTTTATTTTTACTGTAGCTCTTGTTGTTCAGCGCTGCAGCCAATGAACGCATGAAACAAAGAGAGCTGAAGCAGCAGCGTGTTAAAAGCTTGATTGGAAGTTTCCCGTGAGCAGCCTGCGGCAGACTAGGTGTGTTTGTTTTACGGAGTCACATGTCTGAGGCATGATGCAGGGGGTGTGCAGCGGCCTCGATAAGCCTCTAATCAAAGCTGCATTATTGGCACAGCTGACCACAGTTAGACCTGTGAGCTGGAACAACTGAAACACACACAGACACACAGACACCGGCCCTGTCCACCACACGGATGACAGATAAGCCTGCGCATAAACCCATGTGGCATTATGCGAACACACGGCCGATGTGTAGAAAAACACACACTTTTCACTACATCCTTCTTTTTTTTTTCCACCGACGGAGAGGACAAACTCTCCAAATTAGCTCCTCAAATATTGACCAGGAGAAATTGGTGGTCTCCCGCTCGCTGTCAGAGCACGAGGGGCTCCTGAACACACTTTGGTCAGGTTTCCGAGGTTTCACATTGATTTATTTTTGTTATTTGTTTGTTTAAATATCGTAAAAATAAATGTGTGCTCTGGCGAGGCTTAGTTCTTCTTTTGGCACAGAGAAACCAATGTGCTGAGCGCAGAGGAAGCAGCAGAAAGCCGATCCTTATTCTCTTTTTATTCCCGGCTGTCAGCACCTTCCCTTCCATTTCCCCCCACTCCACTTCAGCTAATTTGATCTGAAATATTGTTTTAAGTGAGTTAGTGGAACGGAGGATACAGGAAGGAATGCAACGTTATAGATTCCAAAGATCATTCAAAGTCTCTAAAGCTGACGGCTCCGTACAACTTTTTCATGTCCAATACTGAAACAGATACTTGGAGTATCTTCCAATACCAATATCAATCCGATAGCTTCTTTTCTCCTACAGCACACCGCAGGCTGCTGCTGAGGCGATGGTGTCTCAGATTGGACAGTCTGTAGTTGTTTTATGTTTTTATATCAGTATACTGTATATAACCATCCTGTGTATCAGATCTAGCCATCTCTAGTTATGATCATTTACAATTCTAGTTCAGAACCTCCCTCTTGATTCAGACAAAGGTGAAATTGGTCTCTTGTCTACTATCGAGGAATAGGAAATTAAAAATCCCTGTTCATGTCAACAAGGTTCCCTCTGTTGAGGCAGATCTACTACTGGGTGATCAGAACTCTCCAACTGTCCAACGACAGTTTCCGAATTTTTACCTTCAGTTGACGACATACAAAAAGTCTTCAGCTCTAAACATCTCTCCCAAACTGCACTCACAGATCACAGTCACAGTTTGTGTTCCACTCAAATACTTTCAAAATAAAGGTTCTTGGTGGCTAGAATGACACCCAACTTCCTTACAAATAAAAGCTTGCACAGTAGGTTTTGCACATCCACTGATCCGTTAACATTAAACTAATTAATAATTAGTTAACAGCACTTGTCCAAATGTCAGAAGTAAAATACTGCCGCCTTAGGGTTAGCCTACAGCGGGCTGCTAACCTATCTAGCACAACATGAAACAGCTCCGGTCGGTGTTTTAGGTGTGGGATGAGGGATTGGGATGGGATTATAAAAAAGACGGAACGACTGTACCTCTGTCACAAACTGGTCAGTTTGGCTTTTCGCTGCTACCACGCCTGGTTTTTTTATACTGTCTGGTATGAAGGTCAGTGCCACCAGAGCCACAACAACAACCTTAGGATTTTGATCTGCTGCTGTCGGCCAGAAATGACATTCCAGACAAGAAATAAAAACGTGATTACAGCAGGTCAATGGCCTCTCGGCTCCCATTTTGATGAGCCGTGTAATGTTCTGGAAATTTCCTTTCTGCTATAATAGTAGAACAAAGTCCTCTAACCATGGCGGAAACAAGCAGGGGGAGGAGAAAGAGCAAGGAGGAGGAGTGCTTACCTGGTGGCCAGCCTCCAAACTGCGCCTCCTGCCCCACAGTAAAGCATCATGTGTGGTAGAAGTGATGAGAGAAAGGGGGAGAGTTTGGCAGCATGTATGTTTGCCTCTATTATTAGCAGGTAAACAGCTCGGATTTTGAACGCTCTGCTCATGTTGTTGTTGTTGATGTTTGTTGAGCAGAGGAGAAGGTCTGGTGCCAGAGTGTCTCCCGCACTTTCTCTCTTCCCCCTCTCTGTCTCCGACCTTACGTTCCCCACTTATGTTGACCTTTTCCGAGTGCCTTGTTGCTCTAAATGTGAATGAAGCATCACTTTTGGTAAATCCTGACCTCTGAAGGTTGCTCAGGGGAAGAATTTATGGATGGAGGTTCAGGAGAAAACCAAGAGGATCCAAGCTTGAGCTGGCTAAGTTAAACTGAATTAGAGCACAGTTAGTCTCCAAAGCTTTTGAGAATTCTTTTGGTCAACGTGGTCAAGTTTTCTGTCCTTTCTTAAGATCAGTGGTCTCCGACCTTTTTGAAACTGAGAGCTACTTCAAGGGTACTGGGTAATACGAAGAGCTACTTGCTTGATACACACTTCCTGAATTATGTAGTAATAACTGGACATACAGTAGCAGACACTCCCACCACCGTAACTGCATCAACATCATCGCAAGTGTAATTGATTAAAAAAAAGAACAGCAAAGCAATTAATTACTATTATTTACAGCTATTTTTGCTAACTTACAGCAATATACACAATTGGAAATACAGTGGGGCTTCAAGCTACAAGTCTAATCCGTTCGACAACAGCACTCATATGTCGATCCTCTCGTATCTCGATTGCGTTTTCCCCATTAAAAATAACTAAAAACCAATGAATTTGTTCCAGCTCCCCCAAAAATATACTATTAATTAATCAAAAATATCAAAAACATAGATATGAAGAAATATATTGATGATATAAAATAATAATAAGCTCAGTTGAGCACTTGTAACTCGATGTTTCCTCGTATCACAAGGAAAATCAGTAAAAGTTGCTTACTGGTAACTTGACAACCTCGTATTTTAGGTAGCTCGTATCTTAAAGCCCCAAATTATTTGTCTACTTTTTTAGGTGGTGAATAACAATTAGTTAACACATTAAAAATAGATAAAACATGTCAGAATGTAATGACGCAGTGGTTTAATTCAAGCTTGTTTTAAATCTCAATAATAATGTCAATGAGTTGGAGAACCTCTGATGTTAACACACATGTCTGAAATGTCCATCAGCTGTCAAAATTGACTAACTCCATTTTTTGATTAGTAGGTTGATTTTTTTTAGGATTAAAACCAGCGTCCACATGGATGTCAAAAACAAAAACCATGCCAAGAGTGTGTCTGCCCAGACAGAAGCCGTGCTAATGCCAAAACCAGAGAAGAAGAAGAAAAAAAAAACTGCTTCGGATTGAACTCCAGATGCGGAACATTCATCTTCTGTCAACTGAGGGAAGCCTAATATTTGTTTGTGGTCACATTCTGACTTCTTCCAGCCTGGCATGGACACAGCATTTAAACAATGTCTCCGTAACAGTCAGTGCTAAGAGATAGTTGACAGATAAATGAAACAGTCCAGGAAACCTCTCACTAATTTCACATGACATGTGATAAATGTACAGACAAGAGCTGCTGTGTCAATGTTCTCATGTTGCCTACGGTCTGGTGATGTCTTTGCGGGACGCCGCACTCCGGTCCGGTCCAAGCCGGGGCTCGGCCCAGCAAAGACAGCAGCTGAAAGACGGGGAGCAGCCAGGCCACAGTGGGGCCTAATTACAGACCCGGGCTGGGGACAACCCTGTGGAAACTGTGTGCAACTGACAGAAGCTACAGCAGCAGCAGGAGGAGAGGCTAACGTTAGAGGATGTTTTCGTTCTGCCCACTATTACTCCTCTTTTGTGGAGTATTTATGAACTACATACGCAACCTTTTGGAGGAGCCACAGTCCAAAATGTAGAGGGAGAGGAGACTACAGTTACAGTGATGGCAGCAGCAAATGCCCACTTCAACAAACGGAGCAGAAGATGTTGGAATAATAAATGAATGATTCATTTAATTTCTCTCACCAAAATGTATGGTTCCTTAAGGAAACCAGGTTTCAGAATGTGCTGGTTGATTATTCACTACTCAAAATGGCCAAAATGACCATTTGATGGAATTCTTTGTATACGACCGGTTGAAGCAGTAAGGAGGAAAACTAAATTGTCCAACATTGTACGATCTTGATTTCACCTCCTCGGATTTATTCAACTAGTGTTCAGACCACTGAGAACCTTATGAGGTCTATCTGGACAGTGGTCTAAAACCACCTCTTTGACGTGAACCAGAGAAAGTGGGTTGGTAAAGACTAGCAGCAGATCAACAGATGGAACGGCACCAAGCAAGGGTAAGGGGTCTCGCTACTGTTTAGCGACACCCTACTGTTTGTAATTATCCAAACTGTT